TCTGTGGTCTGACACTGTCATGTCATGTCATGTCTATATATATATTAGTATATATATATGCGTATTGGGAAAAATTAGTAATTGGTTAATTACAGTACAAGCTGGTATTACAGTAGTTGGATACAAGCTAGCTAGTATTTAGGTAAGTTTCAAGTATACTTGTACTTTTAATAACACTGAGATATTTTAGAGCTTTTCAGTATAAAGAAGCAGAGAAATTACACCCGATTATTGACTAAATTTAACAGTAAACTAAATACAGTAGGCACTAAATACAAACTTCCAAATGCAATCTAAATCTATTATCTACAAATCAATGTACACAACTGGTTATGCAAACTAATTCTAATATCATAGTTGTAATAACATAAATGTATGGAAAATAATACAACCTGTCTATATGGTCTATTATGGTATTTTAAAATGTCGTCTACTCTTAACATTATAATAAATCACATAAACATAAAAACATGTTCTTGCCACTACACTTCCCTTTTCTTGTACTATTCAGTTATCAGCCTAACATGCTGAAATATTATTTCCTATGGCACTCATCCAATAATAAACATAATGCTATCAATGGGAAGATTTTAATGGATTACTTTACTTAAATACTGTAGTTTTCAATAATTCATTCAGCCATACTTGCACTTCCAAGGCCACAGTCTCTCATTGTATTTTTAATACTTTGTTTCCCTCAATGTTTTATACTTTCAGTTATCAGCAAGGTCTTATCAATATTTCATTTTAGTTTTCCTCTTTATCTCTAACTATTCTCTCCATTGCTTTAATCACTGTGTATACTGTACAGTATATGCTGTTACCATCCCTGTTTCTTATTGATTGAATTGCCCAAGGCTTGTACTCGGCTGTCCATCTATCCGTTTTGTATGATTAATTATATACATTAACACCACACAGGTTAATATCTATTCTTGTAGCCAATATATATATATATACATCAGTCTAAAATGCAACACTTTCCAAGTACCAGTCCAAACAGTTACATCTAAATAGACAATAAATTTTACAGCCGGTTGCACTGGAATTACCGGTACAGTTTACAAGCCTTTACTGTACATGAATTTAGAGTTTATCTTTTGTAATATCTAAGCTGTATCACCATTCCCAATAAACTATTGTTACATTCAACTTTTATACTTTCATGAATGCTTGAGTTCATTTCCAAAGAAAATGGAAGTACTTGTACAGTACTGGGTATTTTAATATCTAACATCTCTCTAGATATCTTCTCTCCCAGGAGCAGCAGTGTGGCCTTGGTTACCCTAAGTCAGGATCAGATCATATTGGCACAGCAAGGTTAGCAATTAGCTAACAATCATGCAGCATGGGGCTGCAGGCAGCCAATTTATTTTTTTTTATTTATAATTAGAATTTAGCACACTACTAATGACTCTGTTGATCCTGACTATGGTCTCATAAGGCAGCCAAAGTTTGGCAGGTAACATCACAGCCCATCCTCATAAACAAAGGCCAAAGTCCATTCCATGCACATGCCAAACCGCGTTATGGATGAAAAACGGTTTACACACAACTCAACTAATGACATCCGAACACTTCTCGAACAGGTGCTTTGCCGACTTTTGTTTGAACCACAACACAGTAACTGCTTCACTTAAATAGTACAAATAATCGCCAATAGAACCTAAACACCTAGCCTAACCAATGCCTAAACATGCATAATTTGCTATTATAATATATTTGAGAAAATTCCTGTTTTGAATGAACAGCATGTTAAAATTAATGAATGCATCTTTGGGGTCAACTGCTGGATGGAATAGACTTGGTCTGAGGAAAGGTTGGACACTGGACTCTCAGCACTACTAGGAGAGAGACTTTCCCTCTTGATCTCACCTTTTAGTTAACAGGGACTGTCTGCAACCTGTTTACTGGCCCACAATGCTGTGAATCTCAAAACAGTTATTACCATGTAATTTACTGAGTACATATTGTTTAATGTTACTGCCTTTCAGTGTCCATCTGATTATATTAAGAGTTCTAAAACCACCTAAGTTTACTCTGGTCCCAATAATTAAGACTATTAGACCCCATTCATATGTAGCCCTGTTTACATTACACTGTATTTAAACTTACTATCTAATAAATATCTTCCCTGAATTATATGTACGTATTTACATGGAATAGGGTTTAGTTTTGGAATAATAAATTTATTTGCACATTGGCATGCAATAAGGCTTAAATTTTAAATAAAATTTATATTTGCATATAATTTTAATGACCATCCTTTTACCCTGATAACACCTTATAATATTTGTAAAATCCACGGGATATTAGTGAATCATTACTATGTGGCAATGAAGTGCTAATTTTGAACTTTGAACTAACATCCTGCTTGAATGAAAGATTATCAGTAAAACACTGAAATTATTTGCTTACAATACAAATAAATATTATAATATAGTTTTCTTACACTTAAGAAATCCAACCATAAAAACTTAATATAGTCCATCTGAGGGAAACTTCCTATCTCTGTCTAGTCTAGTCGGAAACCTTGATACTAGTCCATCTCACTAATAAGAGTTTCCTTCTAGAAAACATATAGGACAATTAGAACTGATTACAACTACACTAGAGAAACATACAGGCTTACACACTGCTCGCTACTGAGCACACAATAGTGAACACAATCACTACGTCTAATACGAGCATACAAAACTAAAATGAAGATGGCTGGTAATATTTTATGCTATAGATATTTCTTGTGCAAAGATTAATAATGGTAAAATTTTGAATATCCTTTTAAGGATACATGAAAAGCGTCTTGTTGTATATCACTGAACTATTTACAACATGAATGATTCGTATTCATTCTTAATTTAATCACAAATATGACGGATAAAATCATGCAAATATGAGGCAAGAATATTATCTGGAAAATAGTACTAATAGCCAATAAAAAAATCACAATGCATTAAGCAATTCTCATTCACTGGAAAATTGAGCACCAGTGTTGAGTCGCCAGAGCACCCTGTCATCACCTGTTTATTGGCTATACTGTAAATATGTAATAATAAAAACATTTAAAAATATTCATGCTATTAATAAATTTGTGGAATCAGTATACATTAATGAATTTTGTTCCTAAGGAATTTATCAGATCCTCATGAGAAGCATTGAAACCATTTTAAACTTCTCCTTTCTTGTCATTCATCACATGGTTTAAAAGACCTTATTTAGGACTTAGGCTTCTGGCTTGAGAATTTCTTCAAAAGGATTAATGCTTCCTGGCTGTGGAGTGCGTGGTACTTTACCTGTAAATAAGTAATATTTACAAAATACAGCATTACAACAAATTCAAGTGGTTTTAAATCTCATCCTCTAAAATAGCATTCTTTTCAATTAGAAATTAAGACAAACTCTATTAGTTTACATAATTATAAATAAAGCAACAAAATCCAAGACTAGTATATTTATCACCAGATACAGTTCCAGTTGTCAGAGACAGGGAGTCTGTACTTAAACTTATTGTGGTGTCCCCTAAGCCAGGGGATGGCAAATTTATGGCATGTGTGCCTAAAGTGTATGTTAGCAAATTTTGCTAGCATGCAATGCTGCCGCTTGATTCTTTAAACCCCCCTCCCATAAATATATACAGTAATTGTCTAATACTCTAATTGACAGGCTGACCTTTTCAAAACTATTTGCTGTGACAACTGATGGTGCACCCAGCATGACTGGTAAATAAGCAGATTTTGTAAATGTGTTTATAAAATATGTTGGACATTCACTGGTAGGCTTTCATAGTACAGTACAGTGGAACCTCGAGTGACGAGCGACTCCAGTTACGAGCATTTCGAGTAACGAGCGAGCCACTCGCAGAAAATTTGTCTCGATTGACGAGCTTTCACTCAATTAACGAGCAAACCACATGGTGCTTCCTAGCGTTCCTGCTGGTTCTCGGATGCCTCCGACGACAGTGCTGTTGTTGTTTCGCAAGATGAGCGTTTCACATGACGATCTCGATGCTGGACTGGATTAAATTTGTTAATTGAGGCGCCACTGTACTGCATTGTATATGAGGAGGCCTTGTCTGCAAATGCTGGCCTTAAGAAACTTGAAGACACGATGAAAATCATAGCGACGATAATTCATTATATTTCTGCACGTGCTTTGAAAAAAAAAAAAGAAGACAAGTTCGAAATTTACCGAGTGAGGTCAATTCTGTGTATATAGGACTGATATGTACACCAATGTTCGTTGGCTTAGTAGAGGTTTTGTCCTTAAACGATTTGCCAAAGGTTTGAATGAAGTTCCAGTGTTGTTGACGAATTGAAAATTTTCTTGACAAGCATTATCAAATGTGTAGATTTGTAGACTGATGTTTAATGAATTACTGAACCTTCCCAGGATGCCACCCACAACACGTTAGTAATTATCAAAAGAAGGTGCCAAGACAGGGAGGCTATGTAGCAACTCCACAACGAGCTGACTAACTCCTGGGTACCTATTTACTGCTAGGTGAACAGCATCATTAGGCAATAGGAAACGTAACCAGTCATTTCTGTCCCACACAGGTTTTGAACCCAGAATTTCCAATTCAGATTAAAAAACAAACCCGACTGTACAACACACACTCAAGCATTAGCAATATAAAAGAAATTAGTTAAAAAATAGCATATATTGGAATGGCTGTAGAATAAATTAATCAAATGCCATGTTTCCCAGACTCAAATCTAACATTAAGAAAAAATCAAAACATGATCAAAGGCCACACAGACTTTATGAAAAGTGAAAAATACTGTGTATGGGATTTCGACAAAGAATATGCAATAGCTCTTAAGTGCTCTGCATTATCAATAATGCCAAATCAAAAATTGTCATTGTAAAGAGAGTCTTTTTCCAATATTTTTTACAATTGTACAATTGTAAATTAATACAAATATAATAGTCTGGACTATTCCTCATCTTGAAATAATGAACAAAATTATACTAAAACATTAACATCACAAGTACTGTATACAGTATCTCGGTAATAAAAAAAACAAATATTGAAATAATTTTAATAATGGCACAACTAGCTGGAGAAGGATTGTGAACCAAAATCTATGGGATCAATGCTCTTTAGGGGGGCTCTATGGGATGAATGTTCTTTCAATGCTCATTGCTGGGGAGCCGGTGGCTGAGTGGACAGAACACTGGACGCATGATTCTATGGTCCCAGGTTCAATCCCGGGCGCCGGCGAGAAACAATGGCAGAGTTTCTTTCACCCTGATGCTCTTGTTACCTAGCAGTAAATAGGTACCTGGGAGTTAGTCAGCTGTCATGGGCTGCTTCCTGGAGGTGGAGGCCTGGTCGAGGACCGGGCCGCAGGGACACTAAGCCCCGAAATCATCTCAAGACAACCTCAAGATAGTCAAGCTAAATGCTATAATCTTACACATATAGGTAATATTCAGCTGCAAACTATATTATAAATAAATATAGCATTACCAATAAATGAACTGCAGCTATTTAACAGAATATATACCATAATTTAAAACCAAGTATGGCAAGAATATTTTGTTAGTACCATAATGCTATAAATGGTAAGTAAATTGACATTTAAGAACTGTATATTTAATATAATATACATGTTTTTAAATTTTCATATAGATAGTTAAGCCTGAAAGAGAAACATAAATTTAATACTCCAAAGTGATAACTACTCTCATTGTTAAAGCTGAAATTTTAATGAGTTAAAAGTAAAAATCTAATACAGTGGAACCTCGGTATTCATACCACTCCCAATTTGCACTTTTAGATATTCATATGTTGTGTCCATATTCGGTATTCATCTGTCTGCAAAGCATTCACAAATAAACATGATTCCATGACATCAATTCTGCCATAGCTGTCGTTTAGTGCACAATCCACTACACTTTTCTCTTGGATATTTTGGATATTCTTAGTGTAAATAGGTTACAATGTCACCTAAGAAAGTTTGTGACAAGAGCCAAGCAAAAAGAAAAATGGTTAGAACCATAATAGAAATGAATTAAGACCTCATAGCAAAATATGAATGTAGTGTCCGTGTGTCTGCTCTTGTTACCGAGTTTGGTATGTCTAAATCTAGTTCTCTAATAGAAGAAAGGTGTGCATAATGGGGGAAAAGTGCAAAGTTTTATTGATAACTAATCACTCTGACAAAGCTGTGACAGTGTTATAAACCTGTTGAACAACAATGCTAGGTCTCACTTTAGAAACATTTTAAAACACAGGCAAAAGTAATCATCCTTGAACAATATTCTTGTAACAAAAGCATCCACTGAGTCTACAACCCGTTCTCGCAAATTCGTAAAGTCAATATTGACTTATTAACTACGTGCATAGGTGATATACTAAACATAATAGATACCCCTAAAAAGATTCATAGAAAACACCGACCTTACCTAACCTTGTTAGTATCTTAAGATAAGCATCTTATTGCTTCGTAATTACAATTATTACTTAACCTATACCTATTATAGGTTAGGTAATAATTGTAATTACGAAGCAATAAGATGCTTATCTTAAGATACTAACAAGGTTAGGTAAGGTCGGTGTTTTCTATGAATAATTTTAAGGGTATCTATTATGTTAAGTATGTCACCTATGCACATATTTAATAAGTCAATATTGACTTATTAAATTTGCGAGAACGGGTTGGAGTCTAATGAGGGTAACAGAAAAAGTCAGAAAAGAGAAAAGACCCCCATATGCACAACTACCAGAAGTTATAATGGTAGAGAACTTCGCTGCCAAAAAATAACATCTCCCTTCCTCTGCCTCACCCACCTTCCTCTGCCTCACCCACCTTCCTCTGCCTCACCCACCTTCCTCTGCCTCACCCACCTTCCTCTGCCTCACCCACCTTCCACATATGCCACACAGGCCGTCAACTCTCTTAAGTGCAGGCAAAGTGTGCAGTATGTTTGCATTTATTTAATTTAATTACTGTATAAATATGTTTATTTTTGTGATCTGGAATTAATCCAATTTACATTATTTCTTATGGGAAAAAATTGTTCGGTATTCGCACTTTTTGGCATTCGTCCCACCTTTAGGAACCAATTAAATCTAAATACCGAGGTTCCACTTTACCTGTATTAACAAATTTAAATAACATCCTTAACCCTATAACATTTTTGTGATGCTTCCAGTTGTCATTTGTTAAAAATGCCAGAGCGTTCCGATGACAACTGTTACTTTCAGTGTCAGGCTGACTAATTTTAACTCACTTTTTTGTTATTTTATTTTGCTTTTATTGCATTTTTGAAAATACTGTCATAAAGTAAAACTATTTAGTTTAAAAATGATACCAAATTTAACACTTTACCATGCATAGTGTCTTTGCAGTATGCATTGGAAGTAAAATATTGCTAAGCAATTTACAACTGGCCCAAGACACTTGTAGCGCCCAAAACTGGTAAAGGAACAAAAGCGTGAAAGGGTTAAAGATCATATGCAAAAAGGGAAATCATAATACATGCTATATAATGTAGCAGTTAATCTTTAATAAAAATTAACAACTACGTTAGTTATGTACATAGTTGATATACCGTAATAAAGTAATACACTTTTCACGCCTTACAGTAACTGCAATAGTTTGAATCTGGCAACTTTGCAGCATATTTCAGGTTATTGCTGCAATGCTCCTCGTGCTATTACAACCACAGGGAGCATGAACAAAATTAGAGAAGAAATCTATAATCAACCCTTCAGAATTGTATTTAAGTGTAGACATAGAGGGGGATAGCTGAAAAACGAGAGAAAGAATTGCCTAAACTCGAGAAGACAGAATTGGCGATGGTGCTGCTGTTAAAAATCTCACCATAATTCCTGAGGCAGGTCTTGCTGACCATAAGAGTAAATGGCAGTTGTTTTGCCATTTTCACACTCTTCCTGATTTTGAAATAGATTAATGGTACATTGTAAATAACGAGCTCAGTCCTGTAAATGAGAATTTGTGCTGTCACAAATTCCTGACCTTAGGCCTGTATTGAGGGCTTCTCCAAGGTCAAACTGCAGTACTAACCTTTCCCAGGATGCAACCTAAACACTTGGCTAACTATTAGGTCCCAGGTAGGTCCCAGGTACCTATTTAGTGCTAGGTGAGCAGAGGCATCACGTGAAAAGAAATGAGCCTAACCATTTCTGTCCTTCCTCGGGGATTGAACCTGCTATACCCAGTTGTAAGTCCAGAACACAGACCACTATACTGGCAAGTTTTTAGTTTAGATGGTGGTATCCATGTAAACTACATGGATACCATGTAAACTATATGGATACATTACACCATTATGGTATCCATGATTTTATAACAGATGCATAAATATTTCCAAAATAAAAGGCAAGATACCATAACAGCATCAGTTTTACATCTATTGAAGGCTGTCACTTTAAAGATTTCATATAACCTTAAATATTTTCCCAAGAAAATTTTTAGGGGCAAGGGCATCTATATTTGCTGAATTTCATGCCAAAATGTTCATTGTGTGAGAGATGAAGCAAGAACCATGCACGTTATGGTGTTGCCAAGGTGGAGGCCTCAGGTATTCCAGTTTTGAAAGAAGATGAGGGAACCGAGTGATAAATTATCAGAAACTGAAATTCCTTTCTCAATCATGAATATTTGAGTACAGCTTACTTTGGGCAACCTCCATGGCACCACTGTTTGCTTATTGAACATTATTTCTCAAGCATTCTCAAGAGTTGCATGCAAGAGCATGCCACATATACATAACTATGGCTCATTACTCAATATGCATTAACACTGACCTGAAGAGATGGCTTACTTCTTTTAATCATATATGATTGGTATTTCTAAGAAATATTGTTTTTTTCACATCAATACTGTATGTTAAAAACATATTGAAAAGTATACAGTATTTAATTTATAATCAATGTTTTCCAGAATTTTGAAGTGAAATTCATTTTAGCCAATGCAATCATAAATATAACGAACCCAGACAACTATTATGATTATTGTTAGTTTTTATTAAGAATTTAGTGAAATTTGTTTATCAAAAAGTCAAGCATTTAATGTAATGAAACTCCATTTTCTGGAGGGACACTCGGTAGTTTCCCGAGCTACAGTACAGTACTGGGACTGCCAAGCCTTGGGATACCACACCAGTGCTCCAAGACTCACCCGAGCCTTAATGGGGGCTATGACCAGATTCATGGTCAACTCTAAATCCCCAAAAGTGTCCCACCTCAAAGGAGGAAGTACCCGGGAAGAAGCCAAAATCTTCCCCTGAGCCATACAAATCCAAAGACCACAACAGTCCATCAAACTGGAAAAAAAATCACAATGGCAAGGGATACTGGGCACTTGGTCTGTTCCACAAATAGCAAGTAAAGCCAGACACAGGGAAAGCTGACCAAATACTAACCCCCCCATCCTTAGCAACTTGGCAAAGAAAGGTGTATGTAGCCATAAACAAAAACATAACCCACATTATTCAAGTGTTTCCTTGGTTAGTTAAAGGTGCACAAAGCCTGACCGCTCGAGTAGTAGAGCCAGGCACCACAAGCACACAGTAAACTATATCACTGCCCATCATGATGCCTTGCAGTGGGGAGCAAACACACACCATATCTGGAAGTGATTAGGAGTCAACTCGTAGAGAATCCCAAATTCCTCAAGAGAGGTCCCTGTGGTGCAGTTGTAGCATGCTCGCCCCGTGCCTTACAAGTGATGTAGGCCAGGTTCAAATCCTGGGCAGGGAGTCATGTAAGCACTGATCATTGCTCACCCTTGTTCACCCAATAGTAATTGAGGACCAGGGTAGGGTAATGCTTAAGTCTCCGTGGTGTAGTGGTAAGCCACTCGCCTGGCGTTCCGCGAGTGCTATGTCATGGGCTCGTATCCTGGCCGGGGAGGATTTACTGGGCGCAATTCCTTAACTGTAGCCTCTGTTTAACGCAACAGTAAAATGTGTACTTGGATGAAAAAACGATTCTTCGCGGCAGGGGATCGTATTCCAGGGACCATAGGATTAAGGACTTGCCCGAAACGCTACGCGTACTAGTGGCTGTACAAGAATGTAACAACTCTTGTATATATCTCAAAAAAAAAAAAAAGATGAGATATGGTTGGGAGAGCTTTAAGTCTACTAAGAAGAGTCAATGGTAGTCTGTTCCAGAACCCATACAAGTAATAAAGTTGGGCCAAAAGAGATACATGCTGGCTACCAGGAAAAGAACAATCACAAAGCCGGAATGAAATTGAAAGCCACCCTAGGGCATACAGAAGGCAGGTGGCATGACCTGCAGGAAACATGACAAACATGAAGCAGGAAAGGAATAAAACAAAGCAATGGCCCCCAGATGGAACAAAATATTCCAAGAATAGCCAATACCACTTATCTGAAAGGGTGATGCTGAATGGGGCCCAGCATAGAGGTGTGACCCTGGTTGCAACCTGATGGCAGTCAGGTGCATCATGGCTGCAATGTTTATCCCACAGCAGTGATTGCCATTTTTTCCTTAGGGTTACTAATTTCCTTTCCAGCAGTTACTTTTCATATGCTTATACCTTCTGGTGGGTTTTTCTCAATTTTGGGTTAATGGCTGCTCCCCAAGCTTTCCTTATCCTACAGAAAGAGCCAGATTCTAGGTCTGGTTTCTGGTGGGTCTGGGTGGGAATTTAGAGGCTTCGTGCAATTGCCTAAGGCTCAACAGCTCCAGTGCTGTAACTCGGGAAGCTACTGAGAGGAGGGGGGCCCCATGTAGAAAACACATGCATTCAGAGTGCTCAAAATAACAGCACTGTGTAGGCTGACTTCTCTGGCAGTATTAGATCTGGAATTGGCATATCAAGTAAATTGCTTTAATGGTGAATTTCCACTCAAATACAGTAGTCTTATTGCTAATCCGATGTAAGACTGGAGAAATATATTTTCTTAAAATGTTATAAAAGAGATTAAAGATATTCTGTTTTACTGAAGATGGGCTGAATTAATCATCCTATTAACAAATGAATGCCAACAGTTCAACATAACTTCAAATCTCCTGCATGCCAGTCTTCCAGCACATATCTAAAATTACCAATACTACAGTTCTCCATCTCTTCTTCTCCAATGCTCTTCAAAGCTAACTGCAGCTTCACTTGACTCCTAACTGCCAACAAAACACCATGTTTATTGTTTAACAACAAATCTCTCATCTAACATTACCTCCATGCCCTTACCAAACATGTAACACTTAACCTATGAATGTCTCATAGCCCCTTATCTACTTTTCTCCAGTGGAAGTGACTGACTTAAAATATAGATCTATGGTAACTATTTGAAACTTATGGTTAACATTTCCTCACATCTCCAGTGTGTCAAAATTAATCGTATCCATTCAGCATAGCTATAATTCCTCAATATTTGCTAAAACATTTATTTCTGCATTTATTACATTTATTTTCAGCACATTAAAATGTGAAGATAAGTGTAATAAACACTTTAAAGCTATCTAAAATTTTCTACATATTGGCAATTCATCTCCAACTGTCTGACATTCTTCTAATAGATCTTCAGTAAATCTCTAAAAATCACATTACTTTTTAACATTACTATTTGTACAGAGCTGTATACGTAAATTATTGGTGCCTTTTCCACATTTTTCAAAATAGTTAATATTTTGTGTGCTTTGCTTTTGCAGACATTACCAAAATGTATTAACAGATAAAAAGCTATAATACTGCAACATTTATGGACAGGCTTTTAGATAGTTCAGAAAAATTTTGTGATTAATAAATTCATCAGCTGGCATCGGATTTGCAAGGAAAAGGGATGAGTGACCTTGTATGCAAGTGCGTGCTTGGTGCAGATTATGTTTGATTTAATACATTTCTGTATTATTCATAGCTTGGCACAGGCAAATACAAGTGGTCATATTCACCTCTGCAAGCCAATGAGCAAGTAGCATTCTACCAATTTCTATTTTTCAAACCAACAACCTCGTCTTCCGATGTAAGATATATATGAATCGGATTCTCTTCCTTTCTTCTTATGTCAACGTCACCAACACCACTACGGCTGTCACCTGAGGGAAAATGTGGAGTACAGGCAGACTGAAATCCTGCTAAAGGGGGTCAGCCAGTGACACTGTTAGACTGTTGATGAACTTAAGAGTGAATGATCTATCAATGACTGTAGTTTAGTTCCCAGCTACTATCCTTGAACTATTTATCTGTAAAGGTAAACAGTTTTCATCAGAAAAAAAATCCTAATTCAATGTGGAAAGAATCGTGTTTTAGAAAAAACTTCTCTGCATATTATGAGGATAGACAGTCATCTGATAACTTCTCAACAGTACCTAGATGTTACCCAATCAAGACTTAAGCCTTCCCTGGAGCACCATTATGGTATCTGGTGGTATTTATCTCCTTCATCCTTGTTATATAAGATATAATCCACAATAGTGTGATAATAACATTTCATTGCACTTTCATTAAAAATTATATATTTATTTTATACATGTAAACCACACACACACACACACACACAGATTTAATCACACTCAAATACATACTACAGTATATAATAAAGAAGAAAAAGAGAGATGATGAACTAACCAGTTTCGTTCTGCACCACCACAACACAAGCAATCCACTCTTCAAGCGACACTTTGCTATCCTTGTCCACGTCACAATAATTGGTAATTTTTCGTCCACACTTCTTTAACTTTGGATTGCTGTAAAAGAAGAAATAATATACTTAAAACTGTAGAGTATTTCAAGTTGTTGCACCTCCATAATTAACAAAAAACAATGGAAGTTTAAAATATTTAAAACAAAATACAGTTCTGTATGAGCTCACTTAACCGGACTATATGAGCTCACGTATTCGGATTATATGGGGAAGGACCCCTACTGGATAAGCCAGACATCCAGATAAGTAGAATTCTTACTGGGAAAGTTCAAAAATGAATATATTCACAATTTTTGTACCACAATCAACATAATTTGAATTTCCACACACACTATAATTAAAAAATATACCAGTACAGTACTGTATAATTTAAATCAAACTTCAGCTTACCTTTTGTAATACACTTTGATTGATATTGTATATAAAATAAACATTACCAGTGCAAGAACTAAACCTTGAGGTACTTTGCTAGCGACATTTCTCCAGTCAGATATATTGCCTTCAATCACTATTTGCATTTGTTTGTTCGTTAAAAAATCCTCACCCAATATAGAAGGCTGTTTTTCACCCCTCCAATGTGTTCTAACTTTCAGAAGTCTTTTGTGTGGGAGCATGTCAAAGAATTTTTTTTAAAAGGCCAGGTATATTTAATCGGCCTTCCCTTTCTTGCAATATTTCTGTGGTTGTATCATAAAACCAAGTACCAGTAGATTTGTTATGCAAAACCTTTCCAATTGAAATCCAATCTGACTTTCCATTTTTATTATGTCATTACTTTCCAGGTACAGTACTCGATTTGCTTAAAGTGAATTTCTAATGATTTTACTACCCAACTTGTCAATAATACGGATATATAGCTTAGAGGGTAATCCATGTTTCCATTGAATAAATTGGAACTATATTTTCCTTTTTCCACATGTCAACTAGGGTCCCTGTTTGTAAGGATGTTTGGAAGATAATTTGTGGTGGGATGGTAATCTCTAATGCACTTACATAGTAACCTATGTGAGACTCCATCTGATATAACTGTTTTGTTTCTGTCTACCTCTCAGAACAGGTTTTCTATCTCGTTTCTCGACACTTGTATATATAATACTACACTCTAAGCCCCTATAAAAAATCTAAATTGATGCCGATTCACTGGAAGTTTTATCGTGCAGGAACAAACTTTTGAACAGTTCATTTAGTGTTACACAGATTTTCTTTTCAACCTCTCGAGTCTGTCTGCCATTTCTAATCTTCGGATTTTGTCTTTCACTTGCATTTTACTTTTTTGTGAATTTATAGAATAACCTGGGTTATATTTTGCTTTTTTTCATTATTCCTTTCTCAAAGCATCTTTCTGTCTCTTTGTACTCCCGTATAGTAGTTTCATACTTGTTTGTTCTGTAGTACTGGAAAGTTTGTGGATTTAGCTTCATCCCATATTTATTCAATTCTATTGCTTTTTGTTCTCTGTTCCTGTCAATTTCTGTTAAATCAGTCTTGTTTTCTCTATTTGCTTCTCTGTTTTATTATGAATATGTGGGTGCTTTCCTCACATACTTTGCGAAGTTTGGCATACAATATCGTATTTATTTCTTTGCCTAACAATAAACCATTTCAGTCAATTCCAATAAAGACCCACTCGTGCACCCATCACACTCGTGCACCCCTTCCATCATACTCGTGCACCCCCCTTCCATCACACTCGTGCACCCCCTTCCATCACACTCGTGCACCCCCCTTCCATCACACTTGTGCACCCCCCCTTCCATCACACTCGTGCACCCCCCTTCCATCACACTCGTGCACCCCCTTCCATCACACTCGTGCACCCCCCTTCCATCACACTCGTGCACCCCCCTTCCATCACACTCATGCACCCCCTTCCATCACACTTGTGCACCCCCCTTCCATCACACTTGAGCACCCCCCTTCCATCACACTCGTTCACCCCCTTCCATCACACTCCTGCACCCTCTTCCATCACACACATGCACCCCCCTTCCATCACACTTGTGCACCCCCTTCCCTCCTTCCATCACACTCATGCACCCCCCTTCCATAACACTCGTGCACCTCCTTCAATCACCACAACACTTAGATAATGAGAAATAATTCCTGGAGCTCCTGATCATTGTCTGTCTCAATGTGTGTGTGTGTGTGCGTGTGTGTGTACATGTGTATTTGTGTGTACACGTCTAATATACGGTATACAGTTCTGTATACTGTACTGTATATATTTTCCCTTATACATTCTTGTACATGAGTTCTTACATAAAGTTCTTATAGCTTTTCAAGAATCAATATTGTTTTACTAGGTATTGTAAGTGGAACTCAACTGATATAGGAAACTGACCAATTTATTAATTAAAATGTGTATAATAATTATTCACAATGCAGAAGTAATTTCTACTGAGCTCACCTTTTCAAAAAATTTTTTGCTAATCTCTTTTCCTTCTTTTCCAAATACTGATTATTATTTTTGTCCAAGTTTCTGAAGTGGTAAGTAGCAGCAAACTCCTCCACTGACTGGGTCGATGAATCTGCTCCAGCACTTCTGCAAAAGAGGAATGATATGGAATTAACACATTCCTGCTATAATTTTTTTTTACACAGGTGGATACAGGAAGAGATGACTGCTGACTCTTGTTAGGAGGCTGAGCTCTCTGCCTGTCCACGATGTCATCTTAGCTTAGCAGTAATATGTACTTCCGCTTAAAGGTACTAATTGTAACGGCCCCTCTATAATGGTTCTAACAAAGGGGCTGTATGTTCTCAGAAGTCCAAATTGTTTATTGTTCTGGTAGCTTATTTATGTTGGGTAATGATGGGCTGGAGTTGATAATGGCAGAGCAGTTCCCTGTGGTGCCAGTGCCTAGTAGCATACAGCATGTACTCCTGCGTGTCTGTACGTGATCCAGGTCTGACGACACAGGATCTTACCCTCAGGAAGCAACTGAATGTTATAACTCGGATATCCCAGTATCTAGCAGCTTTAGTCTGGATACCATTTGATGCCACATTAAAGAGTTACTGAATTATATTAGAGAATAGTGCTAATAATTAGAGGCAAGGATGTAGCACAGTAAGCATTTGGGATAAGATACAATTAAGGATACATTTTTTTTTCAGGGATATTCCTGCATGGACCCTAAGCCTCTGGCTGGTTCAATAAGTGTTGCTTGTTTCTATTTTATGTAGGCAGAGTATGAATATTTTATTAAGGATACAGTGATGAGGTAACCCTATATAGGGATTTCTTCTTGATACAGTATTTTGGAATCAAATGTAATACAATTGTTTTAGATCATTAAGAAAGTTATTCCACATTATAGGCCCTGATATTGACATGCCATTTTGTACTTAAATTGACTCAGGCTCAGAGTATGCCAGAGAGAGATTAATTTCTTATGTAGTGTCCATGGGTTCCATAATTCATCAATATCCCACCTCAAGTACTTCATCCCTCTCACTAACACCTCATCAGCGTGTCCCTTCCCTAGCCAACATATTCTCTCCCGCAGAAATAAATTCCCTCACCTGTTTACACAGACACCTCACTTCTTTCCAACAACACTATTGTATGGGTAGTAACTCTTCCCCCCTCCCTTTGTAAGCAACATCTAACTCCTTCACCAATGGTTTATCTACCATACCCAGCTTGTATACAGCATCTCACCTGTTTCCACCTTCCACTTTGCTCAAGAGGAACTTCTTTAAGTCCTGGATAAATTTGGTCTTTGTTTCTCCTGTGCAGCCTGTAGAGTAATAGAACTAATTCAGTACAGTACATTTAAAGATCAATAAGTAATACATGCTTACAAATTATAAACTAAATCAAATATGATGCGGGTGCATATCTAACAAACTCCCGGGTATTCAGTATAACAAAATACCTGTACGTATAGTTCACAAAATATTTGAGAAGTTAATTTTTCTTCATATTTGAAGTGAAATATATGCAGAGATCATTAAGAAAGATCATTTAGATCATTAAGATAATTATAGGAGTTAGCAATGCAACTACAGTACTATACAGTACCATAAAGTTATGAATAGCCAGTAAACACAGTTCATATAAATTGTTTTCATTGTGTAACCTCTTAGATATCACAGATCCATACACAATGTATTCATGATACGTAGCATGGTGTGTCTGAAAAAATATTTAAGAGCAATGCAGTGGGATTAAACTGTGGCAGTTAATGCATGAATCTGGGATGACCCAAGATTTAAGTTCAATTTCGTTGTATTACTCAACAAGATATTCTCATAATAGATACATCTTCTCAGGTGCAATTTTATTGAGGTCTACTGATATATATTATAAGTACAGCATTTTGTTAATAGCTAATATAAATCTGCTGATTAACAGGATAAAAATAGCACAGTGAAGGATTAAAATTAATTAGAGATCCACCACCTTAGACTGCAATGTTAAGATAACCACATATTCTAAGTTAAAAATAAGATCTATGAATATTCTGGGAAATATTTATATGATTTATAGATTACACAAATACCAGGTCAGGATGGTCCAATGGTAAGAGGTTGTGGTATGCAGTTTTTTGCTAATGGGGTCCGAATCACCTAAGAGCTCCAGTAGATTTTCTCAACGACTTTAGACGATATTTTAAATAAAACGATTTCTCACCTGGCCATTCACGAGCATGTGGCAGGGGCTGAGAGCAATCTGGAGTGCCATTCTTAACCACTGTGCCATCAAAGCTGTTCCCTGTCCATTCATCCACACACAAACACACATCTGGGGAATAGAAAAAGTTCATGTAATACTGTAACAGTTTTAGGGATGAAACACCTGCTTTATGGGGTTGTGGGAGTTCTACTCCCCAAACCTGGCCCAGTTTGGGTCGGGCTTGGCCCAAATAAACATGTTTGTTTATTACTAACTGGAGATGCTGACAATAAGCGGGTTAAGTTACATGTTATATTATATAAGTATGCAATAACTGTATTGCATGTGCAGAATAAATATTGTTCCAAGGATACAACAAAAGAATAAGACATGGGAGGTATAACCCAGCACTAGCTGATACATTGGCCATGTACAAACAGTATTCAATTTACTAAGGTAACTTTTATCTTAATTAGTAGATTAATTACAGTAATTTGTTATATTATGTATAATATTATCATGTTGCAATTTTTTCATTATTTTGTGTCTAATCAACACCATTAAATCCTAGTACTGCATTTGAAATGACTACTTCATTATTTCTAAATAGATTTATCTGCTTTTCCAATTATATTCTAAATAGATTTATCTGCTATTCTAATTATATTCTAAATAGATTTATCTGCTATTCTAATTATATTACATTGTGAGCAGGCCTACCATTCAGCTACTGAACATGTTAGCTTATCAACACCCCAAAAACTTTATTAACGCTTTACAGTATTGGAATATTATTGTTCAATCATTTTAGCACCAGTTTGTTCTTTATTCATCATAAGTTCATAAAATTAGAAAAAAGTATTTAAGAAAAAGTTATACTTAACTGCATTCTTATAATACAACATTGTGGTCCATTATTGCACTCGTACAAGCTAATTACACCAATATTAAAGCAAACTAATGTAGACACTGAGTTATATATATTGTATGTTTGCTCATACTCCATGATCTTGGAGTACAGCTTGGGCCAGTCTCTTATATTTACCCGAGGGTCACCATATCTCTAGTGGCCTCGACGGGGACATGGGAAGCCGCCAGCTTGGTTAGGGTCGGCTTATTTTCCCTGATGATCGACCTACTGATACACCTGCTAGATTTATGGGGATAGGCCTACAGACATTCCTGCTGAATTTTCACTATTGTCTTTATTGACTTATTCAACTTTTATTTGTCAAGTTTGGATTGTTTAGTTGCTTGAGTGTGCGAGTGGCACTCTTTGGTCAAACTTCTCATGACCAGGTTGTAATAAATGCATTAACTACAATACTAAACTAATACACTGTGATAAGGTGGTGTCCTGCTCAGTTACTACAGTTGCATTACTGTATATATCCTCCACAGTATGCTCGGAGTTGTCTTTTCTTGTGGTATTTTTGTCGTCTAACCAGGTTGGGTATATACTATCTTTCCTTTAGTTTTTCATAACCCATTACAAATGTGTCTAAGATGAAATCCTGTGAGCTTGGTGATTATTTTATTCACTCATGGATACTGTTAGATATTGTTGTGGGCTACCCAAAGTTTGCTAGTGCAGGCTATAGTAGACTAAGACTTCCGTGTCAGGGTTTTCCATGACTACCCAGCCTGTGCGATGGGCATATTAGATGAACTTAAAGCTAACTGTTAATCCATGGAGTGTAAGAGTCCCTGGTGACGCAGGTGATGACACACTCGACCTGTGCCTCATCACCTCTTTGATCTGAGTTGGAGCCCTGGCCAGGGGGACTATCACATTCACTCCAAAAATCTACCACTTACGGGCTATTCATGCCCGTGCCACCTCTTGGGTGGCTTAATCTTCAATCAATCGATCAGGGAGGACTGACCAGGCGCCAAATCCTTAACTATTTGCTACTGTTCACCCAGCAGTAATTAGGTACTAAAGCACCTGGCTGTTAAGCGATTGGCGGGTTGTGTTCCAGGGACGACTGGTGGGCAGGGGTATCTGGAGTTGGAGGTCGTCTGTTCCTGTATCTATATGTAAAAAAAAATCCTCATATAAAATAGGATAGCAACACACTGCAGTATAGTGTATTCTAAGCTTAATACAAAAAAAATGGCTTTGCTTTCCCTTCAAACGTTAAAATCGAAATTCATTTTCTTCAAGCTGCTTGTGTACTGGTTTTGACTGAATTATGTTTTGGCTTCCCATTTAAATATACCGGGGTTCCACATGGGCAACGGCTGACCTTCCCCAAGGTGCAACTTGCAATAGTTGCATCAAGTGAAAGGAAACCTGTCCAGGTGTCTCGGTCCTGCCACCGGGAGTCGAACCTGTGACCTCTCGTCTGTGAATCATCTGCGCTGACTGTGGAGTAATCCTGCATGTCGTCAACTGTCATCTCTGCCTGAAGACTGCAGAGATTTTTTTACATTACAACCTGCATTACATTTTTTTTACCCCTGTTGCCTTGGTACTTACCTTTGTAGCACTGGACTGGCTTGTACTTGCCATTTGACTGACATTCAAAGATGTGAATGCTGTTGTTGCCGGCACTCTCCGTCTCCAGGATGGCTTGGCGCTCCCGCTCGCACGACGGCTTGGCCCCTGAGGATGACGACCAGGGGGTGAGCAGACTGGCACGCCCGTAGGTTGGGGGATACTGCATTGTACCTGCATGGGGTTCTGGGAGGTCTACTACTCCCCATGCCCGGCCCGGGGCCAGGCTTGAACCCGACCCGGGGCCAGGCTTGAACCCGACCCGGGGCCAGGCTTGAACCCGGCCCGGGGCCAGGCTTGAACCCGACCCGGGGCCAGGCTTTAACCCGGCCCGGGGCCAGGTTTGAACCCGGCCCGGGGCCAGGCTTGAACCCGGCCCGGGGCCAGGCTTGAACCCGGCCCGGGGCCAGGCTTGAACCCGGCCCGGGGCCAGGCTTGAACCCGACCCGGGGCCAGGCTTGAACCCGACCCGGGGCCAGGCTTGAACCCGACCCGGGGCCAGGCTTGAACCCGGCCCGGGGCCAGGCTTGAACCCGGCCCGGGGCCAGGCTTGAACCCGGCCCGGGGCCAGGCTTGAACCCGGCCCGGGGCCAGGCTTGAACCCGGCCCGGGGCCAGGCTTGAACCCGGCCCGGGGCCAGGCTTGAACCCGGCCCGGGGCCAGGCTTGAACCCGGCCCGGGGCCAGGCTTGAACCCGGCCCGGGGCCAGGCTTGAACCCGGCCCGGGGCCAGGCTTGAACCCGGCCCGGGGCCAGGCTTGAACCCGGCCCGGGGCCAGGCTTGAACCCGGCCCGGGGCCAGGCTTGAACCCGGCCCGGGGCCAGGCTTGAACCCGGCCCGGGGCCAGGCTTGAACCCGGCCCGGGGCCAGGCTTGAACCCGGGCCGGGGCCAGGCTTGAACCCGGCCCGGGGCCAGGCTTGAACCCGGCCCGGGGCCAGGCTTGAACCCGGCCCGGGGCCAGGCTTGAACCCGGCCCGGGGCCAGGCTTGAACCCGGCCCGGGGCCAGGCTTGAACCCGGCCCGGGGCCAGGCTTGAACCCGGCCCGGGGCCAGGCTTGAACCCGGCCCGGGGCCAGGCTTGAACCCGGCCCGGGGCCAGGCTTGAACCCGACCCGGGGCCAGGCTTGAACCCGACCCGGGGCCAGGCTTGAACCCGACCCGGGGCCAGGCTTGAACCCGACCCGGGGCCAGGCTTGAACCCGACCCGGGGCCAGGCTTGAACCCGACCCGGGGCCAGGCTTGAACCCGACCCGGGCCAGGCTTGAACCCGACCCGGGGCCAGGCTTGAACCCGACCCGGGGCCAGGCTTGAACCCGACCCGGGGCCAGGCTTGAACCCGGCCCGGGGCCAGGCTTGAACCCGGCCCGGGGCCAGGCTTGAACCCGGCCCGGGGCCAGGCTTGAACCCGGCCCGGGGCCAGGCTTGAACCCGACCCGGGGCCAGGCTTGAACCCGACCCGGGGCCAGGCTTGAACCCGACCCGGGGCCAGGCTTGAACCCGACCCGGGGCCAGGCTTGAACCCGGCCCGGGGCCAGGCTTGAACCCGGCCCGGGGCCAGGCTTGAACCCGGCCCGGGGCCAGGCTTGAACCCGGCCCGGGGCCAGGCTTGAACCCGACCCGGGGCCAGGCTTGAACCCGGCCCGGGGCCAGGCTTGAACCCGACCCGGGGCCAGGCTTGAACCCGGTCCGGGGCCCCAAGTGACCCAGTAGTGACCCTGGACCCCGGCTTGAATCGGGGTCCAGGGTCACTACTGTGCCATACTATCAGGGCCTTACTGACACTAACTTGAACAGAGGTCTTTAGTTAATAAACTAATGATACCATATTCTCATTTTGTGTTAAAGTAACTAATGGTCTGGAGAGAGTGGTAGTATCTAGCGAGAAATTAGCCCTTTGATATAAGAAAATGGAGAAGTTTTCAGAGCATACTATGTTAGATTATACAGTTTCTATGGTCAAAATAGCACACTAAAAATTGGTAAATAACAACCACACACAATGAAACATTGTGTCAACCACTTACGAAAGTGATTACGAAATTTTGAAAGTGAATTTCGAAACTTACTATATTACGGAATAAATTATACCAGATAACATCAAACATAAAAACTGATGGATTGTTTCAAGCGTAGGTTAGACATACATGCATATTTAGGTTGATATAAACGGTAGCTGCCCTCCTACAGCCCAACAGCCCTCCTGCACTTTCCTTTAATCTTATGTTGTGACATTAAATACATAGCGCACATAACGTTAGGATTAGCGCAGGCACAGCTCGGTGTGTGTGCGTGTGTGTGCGTGTGCGCGCGCGTGTGTGTGTGTGTGTGTGTGTGTGTGTGTGTGTGTGTGTGAGTGAGAGATCCCTGGCGCCGACAAGCCTAGCTCCTGTCTACCGTCTCCCACCAGCACTAAGCTCTGGGGCCGTGTTCCACCGTCTGTGATCACTTAGACAGCGAGAGAAAGGACGGGAGTGGGAACGCAGTGAACTGACAGTTTAGTATTGACTTATTCCTTATGTACATCAGTATACAAGCAACTATAAGGAGGCAGTGACAGTATCATTCACGGATGGTTGGTTGGGTTAGGTGGGTTGGGTTGGGTTAGGTTGGGTTAGGTTGGGTTAGGTGGGTTAAATATTTTATTTACTTCCGTTTTTGTTAGTGTCTGGTAAGTGATAAAGTTTGTTAATATTTACAAACGTCTAAAACCGAGCATAAGCAAAGACCGAGCACAGGCAAAGACCGAGCACAGGCACAGACCGAGCACAGGCACAGACCGAGCACAGGCACAGACCGAGCACAGGCACAGACCGAGCACAGGCACAGACCGAGCACAGGCACAGGCCGAGCACAGGCACAGACCGAGCACAGGCACAGACCGAGCACAGTCACAGACCGAACACAGTCACAGACCGAGCACAAGCAAAGACAGAGCAGTCACAGACCGAACACAGTCACAGACCAAGCACAAGCAAAGACAGAGCAGTCACAGACCGAACACAGTCACAGACCAAGCACAAGCAAAGACCGAGCACAGTCACAGACCGAGCACAGGCACAGACCGAGCACAAGCAAAGACCGAGCACAAGCAAAGACTGAGCACAGGCACAGACCGAACACAGTCACAGACCGATCACAAGCAAAGACCGAATACAGTCACAGACCGAGCACAAGCAAAGACCGAGCACAGTCACAGACCGAGCACAAGCAAAGACCGAGCACAGTCACAGACCGAGCACAGTCATAGACCGAGCACAGTCACAGACCGAGCACAGTCACACCCCGAGCACAAGCAAAGACCGAACACAGTCACAGACCGAACACAGGCACAGACCGAGCACAGGCACAGACCGAGCACCAGCAAAGACCGAACACAAGCACAGACCGAGCACAGTCACAGACCGAACACAGTCATAGACCGAGGACAGTCACACCCCGAGCACAAGCAAAGACCGAACACAGTCACAGACCGAACACAATCACAGACCGAGCACAGTCACAGACCGAGCACAGGCACAGACCGAGCACAGGCACAGACCGAGCACAGGCACAGACCGAGGAAGGATAGGTACTTACTTTGCTTAATGGGGGGTTTGGAGCAGCGGGCGCCCCTACACCTTCCACCTGAAGGACAGACAGACAATCAATACAGGTTATTAATTAACTCATCAATTAACATTCAAAAACATATTCGACCACATGAAAAATTAGGAAAAAGAAATATAGAGACAATTTAAAACAAGAATCGAGTTTCGCTGTTTTAATCTCGGTATAATAATAAATAAAATGTATGGAGTATTCTGTGGGAATCTTAATACCCGTATAGAATTTCAATGCGTTTTAAGACCCCGTACTGAAATGTGGATGTTGATGAGCGTAGACTTTTCTTGTGCTTTTGCCTGGCGCTATGCAATTACTTTATTCACTCTCGTATTCTTGAAGATATCCTCACAGTGTATCAAAAATTTGCCAGTGAAGGCTACTAAACATATGGCCCTGTATGACTAACCATCCTGCGAGATGGGGACTTTTAGTACCACTGCTGCCTTATTCACTCTTGTGTTGATAATATCCTCATAATGCTCCCAGAGTCTGCCAGTGTAGACTACTGATCACATGCCTCTGTATGACTAACCATCCTGTGTGATGGGGATTTTAGCATCACGCAGCTAGCTTTTTGACCCACTGTACTCCCCTTCAAATAGTCTAGGACAGCTGCACTAATGCAGGCGTACATAAATATGTTAATACAAAAAAAAATCTGCGATATAAGGTCTTCTTTTCAAGCAATTTAAAACATGTGGTGACAGTGAAGACGCCAAGAACTTCATAACTCGTCAATAACCTACTTGCTGTACCTACACAATATTAGTGTCAGGATCAAGTTCATTTATGTTTATTGAGACAAGAAAAAATACATCTCAAAGGGATTGAGTAGCTTAGGCTATTTCTAACCCCTTTGTTTCAGGATCTCGTGTATAGCCACCACCAGAGAACACCATCAATGGTGTCCAAGAAGTGTGTAAGTACTTCATTCATAATGATGTGCTGCCGGGAATCTTAGCGAAGTATCCCAAATGTGCTTACTGTAGGTGCAGCCTGCACATGACTGTAAAACCATGTGCCTGTAAAGGTGGGTGTGGGGCAAGACTGTGTGACTCACCATAGATGTAAAGTGTCTTGAACAGTGACTGTTGTAAGCCTCTAGTTGAATCACTTGTGATATAAAAAGATAATTGATATGTATATGTATTTGTGTAAATGATTATATATATATATATATATATATATATATATATATATATATATATATATATATATATATATATATATATATATATATAACATTAATAATTGTGTAAATAGCTTAAAAAAATTGTCACTTGCTTAACTAGTGACAATCTTTTATTTAGGATCTCAATTTTGATTATCAGCACTTCCACCATATCTTGTGTGGTGTTTAGCAGCTCAGTACGGATGAGAGTGTGTCTTAGATGTAGAGGCTGACCCCACCCTGTAGCCGGTGTTTCCTCTCACATCTGAAAAGATTGTATTCTGAGATCCATATTTCATAATAGTCCTTTGTGTGGGTTTCCGTTAGGGCTGCAAACACTGCATGTGCCTCATGTAAGAGGCCATCTATGAAGTGCACTTTGTTAGATTTGCGTGTTTTTATACCCTGAATGTTGGCACATACAAATGATGTTATGTTTGTGGAAGTGCTGGATGCTTTATTTGGTGTTAATATCTGAGGCTCTGGTAAGGAGGCCACTGTGTTTGCGTCCTCTCCAGCATTTGACCGAGTTAATGGTAGAGTCTGGACATTTTTAGCCATTCTCCTCCTCCTCCTCTTGCTAAAATATCATCCTGGTAAGTAGTGTTGTGGCTGCTTTCCTCGAGGCGGTGTGTCGGTCTTATTCACCTGGTGCCCCTTATATGGAAAGCTGGACATTGTGTCGAAACATTCATTCTTATTTAAAAGAGTTTTTGCAAAGTTCTGGGTGGAAAAATTCACATATTTTGGTACATTTACCTATACTAAGAAGGTTTCCGGATTTTCTAGGTAGATCGTATTTACATATTTCATTTATTCTTCCCGATATATATACCCCATTTACAAATGGGCCACGCCAATACGTACTCACCTATTTGTACTCGCCTATTTGTGCTTGCGGAGGTTGAGCTCTGGCTCTTTGTCCCGCCTCTCAACTGTCAATCAACTGGTGTAGAAGTTCCTGGGCCTATTGGGCTCTATCATATCTACACTTGACACTGTGTATGGAGTCAGCCTCCACCATAAGAGGCCTCCACCCTATATTCTACACGTGTGACTTCAATGAAGAGCGCCAGGCACTGAAGCCATTGACACCGTGCCTCTGAGAAGGAAATGTTATTGTGCTGGAGGTGCAGAATGAAGTACGTCTTTTTACAGTGTGCACAGCTCTGGAAAAAGCCGGACCTTCGAGAAGCCGCCGGCTTCCTGTCCTCGTCGAGGCCACTAGGGTTAGTGGGGCCTCGGGTATATCAGAATGTTGAATGGAAACCGTCGCAATTAATGCAGCAAACTGGTGGAGTTGCGCAAGTGGATCTGATATGTACTCGCTGAAGCACCATGGCCAAACTGCCACCTTGCATTTCACTGACATGGGATAAGGAACTTGTAAAGAACATTTTATCCTCTCTGGGATAACAAAAATTGTGGGGGTTTTACCTTTAACTGTTAAATTAAATTTTGATCAACACTGCCGCGTTAGTACCCTTAGCACAAGGGGAACAGGTGACCGAATCAAGCTGGATAATGGTGTACCTTCTTGATTTTAGATATTCATAATATCTGTTCCCGAGACTAAACTCGGACAATGCCCGTACTACACTGTGATGGAGACAGTGTATTGAAGATAAAAATGGAGCTGGAGATCATGATCAATCGCATTTCCTCAGTATATCGAAAGATAACAATATTGGTCCACGTAAACAGACCGAATATATCATTGAAGGTTGTATAAGTAAGGTATCAGAGCGGTTCCAAGGGAGAGAGCCGCAGCATCCAGTGAGGGGGGGGGCGCCCTCATTACAATCGAGGAACTTCAACGAAGAGAGTCATATTGGGTGACGTAACAGAGAGAGAGAGAGAGAGAGAGAGAGAGAGAGAGAGAGAGAGAGAGAGAGAGAGAGAGAGAGAGAGAGAGCAAGCCAGAGAGAGAGAGAGAGAGAGCAAGCCACGTAGAGAGAGAGAGAGAGAGAGAGAGAGAGAGAGAGAGAGAGAGAGAGAGAGAGAGAGAGAGAGAGAGAGAGAGAGAGAGAGAGAGAAAGCTAGAGAGAGAGAGAGAGAAAGCTAGAGAGAGAGAGAGAGAGAGAGAAAGCTAGAGAGAGAGAGAGAGAGAGAGAGCTAGAGAGAGAGAGAGAGAGAGAGAGAGAGAGAGAGAGAGAGAGAGAGAGAGAGAGAGAGAGAGAGAGCTAGAGAGAGAGAGGGAGAGAGATAGAGAGAGCGGCAGGAAGGTGGGGAGACGGCGCTAGTCAGGACGCAGCACGAAAGAATCTGTATAGTCAAAGAAAGCTTTACAGTAAGCCTAGGGTAAGGGGGAAATAGATTTCCCAGAGGAGCCGCTCTTGTATCCCTCGTCGCCCACCCACCACCGGAGTCTGAAAGGAAGAAATAGTGAAATGTCCATAAGAAACGAGGATGGCAAAATTGGGTCCTAGAGTCATGGGATATCCCCCTCCCACACCAGGGCGGGGAGAGGCACCGCAGACCAGGAGCATTATTCCCAGTAACACACTACCTCCCAGCAGGGTAGAGCACTGACAGCAGCAACTGTGAAATGTGTTGACCTACGGCGGTGCAGAAAGTTCCTTTTCCCTCGTACGTGAGCTCCGACACCCATATATCCATCCCACCGGCGGGCGACCCCATGACCCAAATGGGATCCCCATGCCAGTGGGTGTGCTTGATTGGACTCCATCACACCAGGCAATAGAGAAGAGCAGAAGCCATCCATATCTGTCAGAGAACAATGTAGAAGAGCCCACCCCTGGCCCCCTCAAGGCCCCCTCAAGGCCCCCTCAAGGCCACATGTAGGGGTGGCGGCGGCGCCCTACAAACACGCCTCCAGGCACGTTCCCCAAGTCTCAGATGCAATAAAAAAAAAACTAGTTTGCTAATGCACAAACCCGAGAAAAATTACAAAAGCAACAACTGTGTTATTCCAGGTGGCGGCGTTTGTGTATTATCCTGCTGTTGGTCGACACCTGGGGCCGGATTCATCAAGGAGGTTACGCAAGCACTTACGAACCTTTACATCTTTTCTCAATCATCGCCGGCTTTGTTTACATTTATCAAACTGATAGCTGGGAAGCACCAGGAGGCTGTTTATAACAATAACAACAGTTGACTGGGAAGTTTCCATACTCGTAAACTGTTTAATATATGTAAACACAGCCGTCAAAGATCGAGACAAGATTTACACGTTCATACGTAGATGTGTAAATGATTACTGACTCCTGGCCCTGGTGTTAACATCTGCCAGTGTTGACATCTCGACTCAACAAATACAAGCTCCTTAAAATTACATATTTTTCTATTATGTTAAGATGCTAATTTTGCCAATTTTATATTATTGTAATTCAACTTCATTGAAGTTGAAGGTAGCTGCATAGCATGTCACTGTTACAACATTTCTAAATCATTAGTTTTAGTACAACTAAATCATTAGTTCTGCATAAATACTAATGATTTATTAGATGTAAAAGATATTATGTACACCAACGAGGATACTAACACTAGCAACAAGGAAGACCTAGGGGAACTGGACATAACCAAACTAAAAAGGAATACTGAAGATATGATAACGACTTACAAAATCCTATGGGTAATTAACAATGTAGGCAAAGCAACATTGGTCACAACTAGAAACGACAGAACGAGGCACGACACAGATGGAAACTAAACACAAATGAGTTGCAAAGATTTCAACAATAACTTTCTTAGTGTTGTCAACAAGTGGAATGGTATGACTGATGAAGTTAGAAGCTAATTCAATACATGATTTTAATATAAATATTGGAAAACTTGGGAACCGAGTTATTTAAACTAGGAATGTAGAGTGGCATGGACTTGGAGGTTA